AAAATAAATTAAATTTATATAAAAAAACTCTAATATAATTTTATATTAATTTTTTTCATATTATTTATATGATATTATAAATATACTAATTATTATGATGGTGATAATTGAAAATATTAAATGATATTGGTGTTTTAATAAATTTTTATGTATTTATTTAAATTTATAATTATATTTAAAATAAATATAAATAAAAAATATTATATATCATTGGCTCAACGAGCCGGCTCGTTCAGATCGGAAAATTGGCGAGCGATCTGAGCCGAGGTTTTTCTGGGTCGTTAGAAAACGAGCCTAACGAGCTGAGCCCAAAACGATCCGAGCCAAATGAGCCGAGCCCAAAATGATCCGAGTTGGCTCATTTGACACCCCTAGATATAACTAAAGGCATTATTAAAGAATGAACTTAATTAAGGGCATTATCAGAGAGAGAGAGAGAGAGAGAGACCTCTTACGGTTATCATCACAGTCAAAACCATGAGAAGTTTGATAAATAAAATCTCCTTTTTTTTTCTATCGTCCAGTCTTGGCGCGCTTGCTGTTGAAAGGAGACATGCTTGGGCTGAGACTAGGGCTCATACTCTGCCTCTCTTCCCTCAGTGTTCCATTTATCGCCGCTAACTCCCTCAGCTGTTCCCTCTTGTAGTGATCCATCGATTCATCCTGCCCATCCCCACTCAGTTACAGTTTCTCCAGATAATACAGTGGACTGACCACAGATAATGCATAGAGAAAACTCAGGGTTTTGAGAGAGTGTGTGTAAACATTACCACGGGCTTCAGAAGAGTTTCTAGGAAATTCACGGCGCTTTCCAATCGAGAGTTTATTATATCTTCAGGAAGCTCACCCTCGATCAATACGTGCAATGGCTCGCTCAGATGCTCGTACCCTGCTTTATCTTTTAGCTTTTCTTCCTGCCAGGAAAAGCAAACACACACTAACACTGTTCAGCTTGAACACCCCGACAGTAAAATCTCCAAGGAAATGAGTTTAAACCCAAAAAAAAAATAATAACCGCAGAAGATATGAATTACAAAAAGATAATTCATTAGGATTGCTTTAACACCCAGACACCAAAATCTGTGGATTAATCAAATTTTGAATCAGAGCTTCTCAGTTTCTATCAACTACTACTTCTAAATATTTGACTCTTTTCTCTATAAATTTAAAGTTTATCATGAGAGTTGCAACACTTAATACTCCAATAAGTAAGACCACACATAAGTGGAACACAAGGAGAAGTCCAGTGGCACTAATAAGCAAACACGATTCGAAATCCAGTTCATGACCTGAGCAATGTGAAATCATTACCTACACTTTTGAGAATCATGAAATAGTGAGTCATACCTTAACAGAATCCTTCACAGAACCACGTCCTCTGATATAAACCCTACACTGTGTTACAAGCTCAACTCTTTTCAGGGAGTTTCCACGCGGTCCCAGAATCCGGCCGACAAAATTATACTGCAAAGTTGAATAAATTGTATTAGACTGTTCAACTATACCATCTAACTATAAAAGTTAGCACTTACATTCGGATATTTATCCACAGGCACATCAAGCCTAACAACTTTCTTTACAATAGGTGGGGTCGAGAGCGGAGCTGGGAGGCCAGGCATCCCAGGCCAGCCCATTGAGGGAGCGTGATATGGAGAACCTCTTTGGAGATGACCATTTTCCTGCAGCAAACAAGTTAGAATTACAAAAATTACTTTTGATTATAGCATCCTTAGCAACATACCAACACCTGAGCAATTAAATGTGGGCCTATATCAGACCTCAAACATGAGTATTCGGTATCAGCTTACCTCTGCTTGGATCATTGGCCATCCCTCCATATCAAGTTTTCCACTCATTGGTTGACCCAGTGACCTATATGGACTGTCATGGTCATGTCTCTCGAAATCAGCAAAACTTGAGACCCTCCTGATTTCTGCATGGAGGCCACTTCAGTAAACAATCTAGCAATAGGTTTTGTTTACAGGGTCCTAGACTCCTAGATTTCCAGCTATGCAAGATCCAGAGCAAAAAGAAAAAAAAAGACATGAACAACAGTCTAACAAATTATAGAGATGCTCTTAAGCAATTCATGGCTTTTAACATTCACATGATCACTGCAGATCATGACTTTCCAATAAATAGTGTTTGCTCAGGTAAAAAGGTCTGGAAACATCTTTTCAATCCAATTGTGTTACAGTCAGAGAGAAAGGTTTGCAACTTGCAAGTAAAAGTTCTCTCTGTATAGCTTCCTCCTGTTCTTCCGCATTCCACTAGTGTTTTTAATCAAAGAAATCCAGAGGAGCGAACAACAGAAAGGTTTGTTCCCTGGAGAACTCTGTACAATGGATGTTGTGAGCTAATGTTTCTATCATGTAAAGATCAAACAATCTTTTGTGCCCATGCACTATGAAATGTAATCAACCTTGATTTAAAAGTCGGCAGCAATTTGGCAGAACTTGCAAAAAGGGCACCAGCTTTTGTCTCTCTTGCAATAATTCAGCCAAGTACCTGAGTAACAAGGTAAACTATGAAAACAATTTCTGCTGGAAACTACAATGCTGGGGAAATAAATGGTTCACAATGTCGGATGGAGTCAGCACTGCAATTGAAGTTGCTAGAAGTGACTTAACATGTGAAAATTCAAAGGGGTAAGTTGGAAAAGAAAAAGTGAACATCAAACAATCATCTGTCCATTCCTTGAATACTCGTAACCTTCAACATTGGTGCCAGATGCATCAAACAAATTGAAGCTAAGGTAATTTACATGCTAAGGCAAAGGTTCAGAAGTTGGCAAAACAAAAACCCACACATTCTTTTTCACATTCATGAAATAGAAAAAAGACCAATGTAAGCCAATTACATGCGAGTTCAACTCGAAAGTCCACAAAAAACAGATCCACAAAAACAAATGTCTCAACTCCACATTCACCAATCCAATAGAACAAGATTTAACAATCACAAAACATTTCAGATGAGTACACACCATCCACAGAAACTTATAAATCCGACCCTCCTTCCAGATTGACCAAATTAAGCAGAACAAGATTCACCAATGACACATAATTCAACTTTTGTTTTTGGGTATGAAACACATGATTCAACTTGTAAGCTAACAAGAAACAAATCCACACCGTACAACCAAACACACAGATTCAAGATCAATGGATCCCCAAGAATCACAAGAAAATTCACATGAACGAAAAGAAGAGAGAAATCGGAACCTCTCACGATCAGTGGGAAGACACGGAGACCGATTGGGAGAAGCTCGAAATCCGGAGGGAGAATACTGGAAGTAACTCCCCGGAGAGATCCTTTCTCCCATCTCCACAGAAACCACGCGGAAAGTTGCTCCTCTGAACACCATACATCCATCGAAAAGTCAGAAACTACGTACAAATACAAACTCGTCCACACACACGAAGATATACACAAACACACACATACATATATATATATAGAGAGAGAGAGAGAGAGGAGACTGACCGGAGAGGAGGGAGGAGAAGAGGCGGCGGATCTTCGGAGAATGAATCTACCGAAATCTCTCTCTCTCTCTCTCTGCCTCTACGTCACATCAGCAGGACGAGGAGGA